CCCAGTCTTAGAAACCGACAATGTCCAGAACTCCACACACATCGAAAAACACCATGCTCTCTCAGATCATGTGAACTCAGACCTAAGTGAGAAACCTAACGAAAGGTTGGCATTTTAAGCTGACAAGGAATCATAAAGCGTCGGGATCCTGTGCTCGCTACCACAACAGTAACCAGTATCCCTAATGATTCCTCTAAGGGTTGTTTATTGGTGTCAAACTGTATATTTAGAAGAGCCATCAGCTGTTCAGGGGGACCATGCATGTCTACAGGGGTGCCAAGAGGATAAAGACAATGGAGCAGCCTGTTTTAATATATCTGACTGTGAGCCAAGTGGTCAGTAATCTCTGTTATACGTCAGCGCTGCCAAACTCACATGGTGCAAATTTATTAAACAAGGAGGGGAGGAATCCAAACATGGTGACCCATTTGTTACAAGGAGGAAACTCAGATGACAATAAAATGTCTTTATTCAACTTCTTTAGCCTTTTAGAAATCAGTCATTTTTTCTTTAAATAAGTGCTTTTTTTAATTGAAGAGGTAAAGGACACTTTGTCAATGGAACAAGACAAATCACATTTAAAATAAGAAAAAAATCATCTGCATGGTCTTATTTAAAGTTCATACTATCTAATTATCTTTTTTTTATCGAATACTCATTCCATTTGCACATCACCTTATTTACCTGCTCCAATTAAGGCTAATACACTTCATTTAAGTAATTTTAACTTATTTTTACATCGGTTTTGTAGTGCAAAGACTAGAAAATCATGTCTTTTTTAAAAGATAGACTTAAAAAATCATGTATAGAAAAGATTCATGATTATAACAAAACTTTAAAAGGGTTAAAAGTTTAAAACTTCTAATTAAATGCCTTTCGCATATTTTTTTATGTTCAGATACAAATACAGAAAGCTTTAAGATTTTTCTAGCTAAGAAACACATTCAGAACATGCCCATCTTATCAATCAAATGTGATTTATCTTATTATAATGCAGGATTTGTAAATTAAATTAGTCACACATAAAAAATAAATGTGATTTTTAAGTCCCTTGTTCTAAATATGGGCTAATTTATTCCAAAAACAATGTCCTTCACATTGGACCTCATAGTTCCTATTATAATGTGGTACAAACAGGCTGACTTTAGTGATGCTCAGAGGAAATTTAACCACATTTGTTCAAGCTACAGACATATGTTTCAATGTTTTTTCTCTGGATTTGGCATACAAAGTAGCCAAAGTAGAGTTTATTTTTGAAAAGAAAGAAAAACTGTGACTTACTGGGTAAAGTAATGGTGCCCTCAAAGGCCATGGAGTCAAAATTTGCTACATGCAACTCAGCTTGTCTCTATCTGGTTTGCACGTCTGGAGATGGAGATAATAGCATATTAATTTTTGCAAAAATGCTAAATATTACCTGAACCTCTTTCATTCTCTATGTTCTGATTAACCCAGTCCATTGTATTTCCTGCTATATGTCTGCGGTTGGATGTGCTGCTAGAGGATGATGCTCCTCTAGAAATTACCTGTATTATTCCCCATCTATCTTCCAGCCAGGAGCTCATCTGCCTGGCTGTGTGTTTCCTGGACGGCCCCGCCTGTGGAGCTGCTTGACAGTTGCCTTTTGTATCTCTGCTTCTTTCTATATGTCTGCTTCTGTCTCCTTGAACTCCAGTTGGTCTCGGCAGATGGCCGCTCACACTGAGCTTTGTTCTGATTGAGGTTTCTTTCTGTTAAAATGGGTTTTTCCTCTCAACTGTCACTACGAGCATGCTTGGTGTAAGGGATTGCCTTCAAGCAAATGAGTCGATGCAATCAGCTGGTTTTCCTTAGATAGAAATCTTTGAACCAATTAGACTGTAGGATTTGCTTGAATTGTCTTTGTAAAGTGCCTTGGTGCTTTATAAATTAACTGATTTGAACTGAATTCCACTAGCTTCAACCTGCCTCTCTGTTCCAAATGAAAAGCCCCACCACAGCATGATGCTGCCACTATTGTGTTTCACCATTGGGGGATGGTCTTTTCGAGCTGTAGCCTTTAAAGATCTCCGACTCCCTCTTTTTCATTATGCTGTCTGTTTTCTAACGCCCTCAGGCCCTTAAACAACAACTGCAATTGTACAGACATTAAATAATATGTGTTGTGTTTTCTTAAGGCAGTCTGGATCAGCTTTTGTTGGCCACGTTTACGCAAACAAGCCTTTAGTTCAACTTTGCTCTTTATATTTGAATAAAAACACATAAATGTGGTTGGATATAAAAACAACTTGCTGTTGACCTTGGCAGTAAGCATTCACCACTCATATCTAATAATGACGACAGTCATTATTGGCTTATCAGGTATGTTTTTAAATATACATATACATATATACAATATTACGCCTTGATATATATATATATTTTTTTAGGAGTTATCTCTTATTCGACAAAAAAAATGAATTTCAAAAATGAAACTGAGCAGCATATTGACTTCAACAAATACAAATTTGGTATCCTGGCTCTACTAAACTCCTGACTGGGATGTCCTGCCTTCCCCTTTCTCTCTCTCTCTCCCTTCCTCCCTCTCTGCTCCTCTTTCTCAGTGTTTTCAGCCTTGGCAAGTGCTGCATATCTGACATTTCTAGCTCCAGCTCTTACCAGCTCCATCGACATCTGCAAGGTAAGACGCAGCATCCTCCAAAAACTTTGGCTTCCCCATTTAGGAAATTTAATATATTTCTAAGACAAGTGTTGAGTTTGACTGAAAATAATAATAATAATAATAACAGAAGTTAGACTTGATCTTTTGTTGTTTTTTTTAACTCTGCTGGTAAAAAGAGGCAAATGTTAATAGGATGTCGGACACTATGAATCACTGCCTCTTGTAAAAAAAGTCACTGTTCACTTTAGAGTAAACAAAGCTCTGAAGAGAGGAGCAGCAGGGGGATGGAAACTGGACTGAACCTCCCAGAGGGATAAACACTCACTCCCTAGATTCCCAAACAGCACATGATTTTATTTTGGAGGAGCCAAAATCAGCTGAATCTAATCACATCATTTATAAAGAAAAGATGTTCGATTTCGCTTAAATGCTCGTTTCATTAGATAACTATGAATTTTAATGGCAGAGTTGGTTGTTCAGCTCAGTGAAGAATAAGCGTTTTGTTTTGATTTGCAGCGTCCTGTGAGAAGCTTGCTCTATCGTGTTTTATGACCTTAGATTGAGGCGCAGCTCACAGATGGAGAAACTATGCCAGAGTCTAATCACATAGCTGTAAACTGGGGTTCATTCCCCCCGACACATTACTTCTGTCTTTTGCTCTTTCGTCACTTTTATGTTTCAGATCATAGGGCTAATTTTATTGGCGGTCAGATACAAACCGACTAAATAGGAAATGCAGTTTTTAAACCATTATTTAAAAGATGAAGGGCACAAACCAACTGGAGTTTGTAGTTGAAATCTTTTAAATTCTTAATTCAGTCACATTTGAAGGTTTTATTAACAGGACCAAACCTGTGATGCATTTGCATCTCCTTTACATTGAATTCTGGGATTTAATAAGGTCACTTAAAAGACTAAAGGTGGACTCTCTGGTTTGGTTTTAAATTATCGTCTTTATGTGGAACTTTTTTGTACTTGGGCTTAAATCATAAACTGATATATATATAAAAAAAACGGATCCTATAGGATTTTACCCTGAAGCTGTAAAGTAGTTCCAGAGTGCAACCTCAACCAGCCATGTATGGCTGCAGCCCCAACCGTAGTCGTTTTGGTGATGCTTTTTTTCTAAAAGTTTAACTTTTCTGACAAGATTTAGGATAAGCTTTTTAGCCAACTCTTATTTTTACCTCATCAGTCCATAGAAAAGTTTTCTGGGGATCAAAATTATGTTTCTGGCAAATATGAGACATTTGCGGCTTAGTAATCAACAGCGGTTTTGGCTTTGAAGCTTTCCCCATTGACGCTATTTCTCTCTCATTGTGTTTCCTATTGTTAAATTGCTTCTGACGCTAAATAAGACGACAAAGGCATGAAGGGCGTTAAATGTTGTCCATGCAGAGTGATTCTGGCAGATTACCTACAGTATCAGAAGCTCAGCCATTGCAAAAAGGATCTACAAATAAGTCACAATTTCTTAAATTAAGTGTATTTACTCTTAATTTGAGTAGTTAAATAAAATAATTAGATAATATGCACTTGAAATAAGAAAATGCAATTGCTTTTTTTCTTATTTTAAATGTAAAGTGTCTTGTTCCATTGGCAGTGTCTCATTTACCTCCTCAGTTTAAGTACAAAAGCATTTATTTTAAGAAAAAAAATACTTATTTTTATTTTTTTAAGTGAGCTGTTCATGTTTGCTTCCTTTCGAACCTACTTCAAGTCGTTCAATAAGTTCTATTTAAGTGATTTCTTAAAAAAAAAAAAAACTCTACTGTTAAAAAAATTTATATAATAATCATGAAATAACAATTTTGGACGGATTTTTCACAAACGTTGAGGTAGATTAGCCTCTCTAACTCCATTAAAGACATAATCAGGGGAAAACGGAATTTTATTGTTAAATCTGTTATCTTTGTTGGATATTAAAATCATTTAGGTTTCTAAAATGTTTCATTTTGTCAAGACAATGATTGCAAAAAAAAAAAAAAACATATGCAAGAGAGGAAGAACTGTTTCAGATTAGACCTGTTATGTTTGTCAATTTAGACGAAAATTTTTTTAGAGTTCATTCATGATTAAACAAACATTTTCACAAAGGGTGAGACTGGTTTGAAGAGCCTTTTATCTAAAACAGCTTTTTATCTTTACACTCAGTCAATTTTTTTTATATTATTTGTTGGATGAGCTGAAATATTTAGATGTGACAAAAAAAAAATCTAGGATTCTAAAAATATATATTTTGTTTCTTTAAATTTTCAGACGTGCAAAAATTAGCACCTGACAGATGGAATCAAACATGCTGTTGACCCAGTTTGAATATCAGCTCGGCATCAGAGCAAACAGCATGTCTCTAACCTAGATCCCTCTGAGCTGTCACTCTGGTTAATGCGTTACAGTTCTTCACAAATACAGTATCATCAGACCAAACGCACTCCTAATGTTCCGTAGATTGAGCGCAGAGATCTGGTAGGGATCTGTTTGAACCCGTTTGCCTCCTCCTGTAACGCTGGAGAAACAGCTGCGTGTGCTGACACATGCAGATAAGACACACCGGGGGAATGACTGGCATCTTCAGTGGGATTCAGCTCAGAGTGGCATGGAAATGTTTGAGTGAAACTTTGCAGAAAGTGACATATTTAAAAGAGATGTCATCCTGTGTGTTGCAACAAATGTATTGAACCACTGGCAGGGATGGATACAAGTATACTGCTTTAAAAAACAACGAAAAAAAAAAAAAAAAACAGGTCTGGGGTTTCATCCTAATATTATGAAATATCGGGAAATCTGCCGTTGTACAGATGCTCTCTATGTTCTGCCTCCATGTAGCAACCTGATCCAATGAGGAGAAGCAAGCTTTCCCCTAAATAGTCGGTTTGAGGCTTATGGGTTACTGCCTGAGCTGTAAAGTGAAGATATAATTCAACTAGAACCTGTCTGACAACATGAAGTAGGCTACAAGGTAATATAAGAGGAGAAGAGGACAAAGATCACTGACATATTTCTGTTTAGAAATGTGTGTATAAAGACATTGAACTTCCACAAAAAGGCTGACCTACTAAATAAATACAAGACTGATTCAAGACCAAGAGGTCAGAACATCACAAATGAGTTAATGATTTACCTATATAAAGATAAAAATGGCCAAAAATGGATTCCATAGAAGAGGTCAAAGGGCAAAATCACTACATGCCTGTCATTCATCCAAAAAAAGCATCTGGATGATCTCCAGGATGCTAAAGGAGATATTCTGTGGACACACAAGACAACAGAAGACCCTTCTGGGAGTTGTCGCTCACATCTGAAATGAAATCAACCTTATATTTCAGAAAGATGACTTCAAACCTACAGGTAAACATGGTGGTGGTAATATGATGCTACTCCTTCCGAAGTTAAGAGGCTTGCTGCGATTAATGGTAACATGAACTCTGCTGGTTATCAGAAAATCTTACAAGGAACTTTACAAGGAACCAAATCCGAATGGCATATAGGTACAGAGACCTGGCTGCGGAAAGAGCATGTCAATTCAGCTTTCTGCAAAAAAATTTTTTTACTAACAATGGCAGGATTTAATTTTCTAATGTAAATCAGGGTAGGTTGGGATGGCAAAAACAGGTAAAATCTGCAATATGCTGTAAATCACTAACATTTATAAATATAATAATACTTATACTTAAAGTAATTATAAAGCTAAAACAACAAAAAATATTTTACCTGAAGATTCAATGCTGTGATAAAATACCCACAGTGATTTTTACCCCTTAAAGCGGGCATACAGTGTAAGATTTTTTGCCTTTTTATGCGAGAATTCTTTCGACCGGGCCGAATCAGCCTCATTGTGCGTCTTGCGTCATATAGTACACAGGGGGTAACGAAGGGAGATCAGCCTCTCGGGACCGCCTCCTGATCAGGAATCGTAAGGTCAGGAGGAAATCAAACCTGCTAGAAATGCAGTTGTAGGCGATCGTTGGAAAATCCTGCAGTTGAAGTAGAGCTATGAGTGTGTCTACGACCCGATTTACCAGAACCTGACGCACTGCGCATGTGCAAACAAGAGAGTTCTTCCTCTTCTTCCAGATAGACCATTCCGACCATCTCTCGGCGCCAAGACCGACACATGTTTTTTGAATGTACAGCATGAGTATTTAGGTCTCATAAGAGCATCAGGAATTACAGAATACGAACATACATCGCTAGCTGTGAACTTTTAAACTTTGCAGTTTCGTTGTACAGTTTGAGCTGAGAGCAAAGATTGAAAATATCGTACAGTGTATTCCCAGCTTAAATTTAGCATTTTCAGTTTCTACATTGATGATTTATCCTGAATACAAAGAACTTATGTCCACTGTTAAGAAGGGTAGAGGATCACTGATGCTGTGGGACTGTTATTTTTTTTCATTTTTAAAAATCCATTGGAACATTATTTAATAGTTTGAGATACCAGAATATTCGATTAAAATCTGATAAAGTGCACCAGTAAACAGTAAATCAGATGCTACGAGGTCTGTTACATGAATAATGATCCAAAACAAAAGGCTAAATCAACACAGGCTGAACTTAAGAGATGCATGAGGATCAAAGTGAACCTATTACTTCAAACATCCATCTAAATCAGAGAGGAATGGTAATAGATATCTCTAGACTTACACTCCAAGTGTTTAAAAAAATATGGTTCATTATTACTTTATTGCCATATGCAGTTGAATAGCTTTTTCAAGCTTTTTTTTAATCTTTTTGTCAACACTGATTCTTACTAATGTTAGACACAAGAAGTTCACATTTCAGGATGATGACAACAACAAATTTTACTTAAGACTTTAAGGGCTTAAGTATGCTGTTGTTTACTAAAGTTTGTTTATAGGAATTTGTCTTTTTTGACATTTATTTAAAAAAATGACTTATTGCACTGTAAGCCAATTCTTAATCTATTTCTGGTTGTTTAATTTAGTTATTTGGTATTGTTGTCTCTTATCATACAGATTTGTTTTGCAGTCACTCACATTTGCACAAAAACTTTGTAAGACAGTAAAAGGAAATTGATTTTTTTTTAGTTTTCAATGTTTTGTAGGCAATTTATATAAGCAGCTTTTGCTGTGGTTTGAAATTATATACATTTTTGCACTTTGGCTTTGGTAAGGAAACGTTAAATTTAAAGTTCATGTGAGGGAACTTTGAATGTTAATATTAATTTTTTTTACTAAAGTCAATTTCATTCGTTTTTTAGCTAATGCTGTCAAGGTTTGTTGGAGGTTTTCATGGACTCAAATGCAGAGATAAGGAGACAGAGAAGAGTTTTGCTTTAATAAAAGTTCCAGAGGCAAAAGAGGCAAAAATCAAAATACGAAAAAGCAAAAAACCAGGAGATGCCAGAGAGACTCACACACAGGGAGACAAGTAACAACAAAGCAGCCAAACTGACAAGAAACAAGCAATGAGGAACTGCAGAGGTGGTGTATATACGGGGAACAGAACAAAGGATGGGCTAATGAGCCGATATGGGGCAGGTGTAAATAGAAGTAACTATAAGGGAGCTAGGGGAAAGAAAACTGGCACAAGGGGGCAGCAGAGAGTAAGTCAAGAAATACAAAACAAAATGAAAAAGAAACCAACGGACAAGAAAACACAGAATGACATAACTCAAAGTGGAACTGAAAACTTTAAAAGAAACCCAAACAGAAGTACAAAAAGGAAGAACCATAACAAATGCCTTCCATATCCAAGTAAATTGTGACTGTGTGATACCCTTAACTAAATAGAAAATCGGACTGAATCGTGAATCGAATAGATTTGGGAAATCTGAATCGATACCCAGCTTTATTCTTTATTAGAGGAAGCCACCCATTACTGTATAAAGGACCATCTACACATGTAATTAAGTCTTTAAATGGTTCTTTAACAATATTCCTTGTACCGGTATGTCTGCTATGAAGGAGGGGATGTGTAAGGGAAGAAAAGAGGAAGAACACAAACATTACACAAGGCAAAGGTGAGAAGGAAGATGGGAATGACGAAATAAATGGAGGTAGAAATGATTGAGAGCACATGGAAGGAAAGAAGGACAAGAGAATATAAAGGAAGGACACACAAAAAGAGGAAAGATACAGTATAAGCAGCAAGTCAGGAAAGGACATAAAGGAAGGAAGTTGGAGGGAAAGAAGTTTATAAAATTTAGACAATATTCTTAGGGAATGAAGTCTTAAAATAGAAATGCTTTTCTAATATTCTGTTTCTATGCATAATCAGGCCTGAAAAAAGATCCTAAAATTTGACTCCATCTTTTTCCAGCTTGATAGAACCACATCTTCAGATAATTACCTTCTCTACACACCAATAACCTTATTTGTGAAGTTCTTCCTGTTCTGATTGCGGCTGGGATTCGTTATATTTAGGAACTTTGAGTCAAAGAAAAATGTTAGGGTCAGTCCCAGTCCCTCTGTTCTCAGACACCAGATCCAAGTTCTCAGATCATCATAACCATGACGCTGCAGTCATTTATTAAACATTAAAGTCAGAGTCAAGCACAGCCCTCCTGTAGCCCATCCCCTAACTTGACTGCTGCAGTTGCTCGGATTCGTCTTCCTGTGTTGCTTTTCACTGTTTCTTAACAACAGATGAAGCAATGGCCCACAGAGAGAGCAGCTGTTTGATCCTCTGAAATGAGAGGTGAGAAAACAAAAAGAGCAAACAGCCAACCAAATGACTACCAGACCGTTTTTGGCAGAGTAAAAAAAAAAAAAAAAAAACAGCTTTAAGGGAGGGATTAAAATGTTCAGATCCATGCAATGGTTTTGACAGATCTAAACATCTCTCGTCTGACTGACAGGAAGCCATAAGTCACACAGACATAACCCCAGAAACCCAAACATGTAAGCAAACAAGCTGAAAGTGCATAAAATGATAAAGCTGTTCTGTATTTATGGTAAAAATTAAAAAGCTGGTATTTTTCCTGCTTCTATCAAACAAAACACTAGATGATGCCAGAAAAAAAAAAACATAACACATTTTAAAAATGCTCAGTTTAAAACAGTGGCGGTTCTAGGTAAAATTTAACCGACAGGTCAGTGTTTTTTCACAGACAAAATGATAACTTAAAAAAATAACAGAACAAGAGCGCATTTCTTAGTTTATTCATAAAGCAACCAATCTATAGTTTCTTTCATTTCTGAATAATTGTTCAGGTAAATCGTATTTTTATCCTCAATTTGAGCCAGTAAATAAAATGAGCCGCCCAAGGAAGGATGATTTTAGCCGTCAAAAGAAGATAATTAGTGATTGTTTATTAAAAACAACATATTAATCATCTTATTCCATCTGCAAATTGCCTTGCCCCTCTGCTAAAATCAAATCAGTGTATACCATATATCAAGAAAAATGGCTTAGTTTAAATTATTGCAGTTTATGTGTTCAGCACAGGTTCTGCAGGGCACAGCCCCCTGTTGGTCCCCGTCTGAACCCGCGCATGTTTAAGACCTGTAAGAGGGACTCTTAAAAGTGAAATAAACAACCAAAAAATTGTATATAATCTACAAGGAATAGTGTAGAGGTTGGATAGAACTAAATGCAGGATTGTCATTACCTGTAAGGAACACTGTTCAATGCTGGAGAAGATGGTAAGGTTTACCAACAAGCAGAACATACAGCTACAGCTACAATGGAACAGCTCAGAGCAATGCATGTTCAATTGGTAGAACGGCCTAGTCAAAGTCCAGAACTAAACCCTTGGCAAAACTTGAGAACTGATGTTCACAGACGCTCTGAAGCAGAAAAGGGAAGATATAAATGCATGACAAACTTTAACTTTTAATTTACAGCTATGCATCTTTCTCCTTCCCAGCAAAACAATGCATATTTGGATGATTGATAGCATGGATTTCTCAAAAACATGAAGCAAAAACACAAAAGGGGCATTAATTATTTTAGAGACAAAGAGCATTAAAACTTCTTGGAAAAAGAAGGAAATAAAATGAGGATTTTATTACTAGATTCAGCTCATAGATGAAAGGCTGCATAGTTTCTGAATCAGGCTCAACACATTTTATATCCAAAAATCTCCAAAGAGATGGAAAAAATTAACTGAGGTAAATTTAATATTTGACTCTTCCTCCAGGACAGCATGAAAATCCCATAAATGGAAGCATTAATGTTCTTAAACTTGAAATGAATCCCTCCTCCGGGACTGAGGCAATGTGAAAAAAACATGTTTACCCAAAGCATGAAAACAGATGCAACGAAGTCTTTTGCAGGAAAAATGACAGCAAATCTGATCCCCTGCCTAAGTATCAACAATGGGTAAGTGGCTACAGACATTAGAGGGAAAAAAAGGCTAAAAGGCTGGTAAATTACATCCACTAAGGGGTGCTGCTGTTACTCTTTTAGAGTTAAAAATAGAAAAGGGTTCATCAGTGCACCCGAACAAGTGGTTAGCAGAAACCAGTGGTGCAGAAGCTCGGTATCTTTACTGCTCTGATCCCAGGAAAGCCCCAGTTCAGCTAGCAAAACCACATCAAAGCCCAGTTAGGCCATGCAGTGCTTTGTCCTTTTTAATACCAGTTGCAACAATGGCTCCAGCACTTTCTGCTCTTGACATTTCTCCAGACAGAGCAGAGATTAACACTTCACCAGGCCTCAGCTGGCGCCCGTTTGCAGCTCTGTTATCATCCCACCCGGCTCTGCCGGGCAGAAAGGTCACATATCACATAGGCACCACACCAAAGAGGCTGGTTTTGTTACCTGTCACTGAAAAGCATGAAGACAATGTGAGAAGAATACTAACACAGACATGATTTTTATGTTTATCTTTTAAATACTAGAGAGAAAAGGGAAAGAGAGGACAAGAGAAACCAGAGCGTGCCTCCAGCATCGACAGCCGGAGTGAACCGCCTCAGCTCCTGAACCCCAGAAGATCTACAGATCCACCTCCCAGTCGCCCTCATGGAGCGTGTCCAGCACATGACAAAGTCGGCCATCCGTCGAGCATCTCAGATCGAGGTGACCCCTCAGGCCAAGAGGAACCTGCAGGAGCTGTTTGTCAACTTCACACTCATCCTCATCTGCCTGCTTCTCATTTACATCATCGTCCTGCTGAGCAGCTGAGCGCAGAAGGGACACATGGCAGAGCTCACGCACTGAACGAGGAGATTTTCTGATGAAGATTTTTCTAAATAGGTCAATATAGTAATATTTCTATTATTTAATCCAAAGAAATCCATTAGTTCAACCATCGCTTGTTTGACTTGTCTGTATGCACAGCATTATTCTACATACACTGTGTATAAGCAATATTGAACATGATGCACATAAGATGGAAAACATTAATCATGTGAGGTTACTTCCTGTTACATCACTTGCACTGACCTTTTTATTGTCTGCACTGACTGAGAGACATGAACTTCACAGCTGCTATCGTTAACAGTATAAACACACAGCAGCCTGTTTGATTTGATATGATGGCTGATTCCTGATTATTTTAACCCTTAAATGCTCTTCAACATCTGCTCCTGCGTGTCCTAGAAATGGCTGCAAAAGCATCATAGATTGATTTTATTTTTCACACCAGACATCTTTTTAAAACTTCAGGCTTCAATATCTTTGTTGCATATTTATATTTGTGAAGTTTAAACTCATTAAAGGCCAATATGTTTACAGAACTGTGCATTTTTATTACCAAAAAATAAATGTTAGAATTAATACTTTAATGAATATACGCCCTGTAGTTGCATTTTAAAATGAAACCTTAAAATAGATCCTTAGAACAAAAATATTTCAAGTTACCAAAAAGGTCTATAAAATTATTTGGTAATTTGCTATAATTTTCCCTAATTTTTATTCATATTTCAAACTAATATTCTGGGATTTTACTAAAGGCCTGTATGTTTGCATAGCTTCATGCTTTTTAAATCAGAACATAAACAAAAACAAATTATCAGCAGCTGAAATATTTACCATTAAATGCTTTGCATATAAATAATTCAAAACAACACCTAACTATCCAACATCAGTGACTGAATCAGTTCCATAAAATGGTTAAACATGTTGACTTTTCTTGCAAGCTTTGAACATATAAACAACAGCACCATCTGGTGGACAAACGCCATATAAAATTCTTGCAAAACCAAAACTGAACAGAAATGGATGCTTAGCTAGATAAATGTGGTATCCAAAGTGGTATTTTAAAATTATGTTTTTTGTTAATAGCTAATTCAAGGAACTGTGATGACAATTAGATGTTTTTTTTTTGTTTTTTTTTTTAAGTTTATTTAAAATCGCTTGAAAAAAATGAAAAATCCAAAAGTTTAATGCAGGATCTCCAGAAAATGCTGCTTCAAGCATTTATCTAAGATTTCTGTAGTACTGCGGTGGCTGTAAAGTTATAACTCTGGCTAGAGCAGCGAAAGGCAAAACCATCTCTAACAAGAAGGGGAAAAGAAGAGCTGTAGCTCAATAGTTTAATGGAAACAAAAGGAGTAGGACCTAAGAAGCTAATATAAATGCTATAAATTAGCCTTTTAATTCTAACTTTAATATATAACTGACATGGTTTGTTGCAGAGATTTACCTGATTATTAAAATATAAACATCCATGAGTGCTAGCAGCACATATAAAACATAATTAAATAATTTATTAAGAAAATAAAGAGGGTTTAAATTGTGTTTTGAAGCAAACTAAACAAATCAGCTAAATAATAGCCTATTGAGTGAAAAACAGTGACTTTGGCGCCACCTAGTGGCAGGTAGCTGATGGTTGAGGAGCGGTGTGTCATGGAAGTTGAAATTTTCAAATATAAATTGTTATTTCAGCAAGTTGGATGTTTTTAAAATGTGTTTTGGGCAAAAAATGCAGAAATTTAAAAAAGGACTATTTAAAAAAATGTCTGTACATATTTTTGTGTTTAATAGTCCTCATTTTATTGCAAAAAGTTTCCAAATATACAAAATTGGGGATTCATTTTGCAGAAAAAGTAAAGAAGTTAAATCCTTAACTCGCATGATAATAATGTTATATAAATTCAGCTTTTCATACCAACATGACTTTCCTAAAGAACGAGAAAATGTTTTAATGTCCCTACTTCAATGTTTGTAAGACAACTCTGATTTCCAAACTTTTAAAAAACTGAATAAACACTGATTTAGAATTTGAGTTGTATGTTTTTTTTTTTACCTGGGTTTCAGCTAGAAGCGATGGTACCTGCTCTATGGAATACCTCACATGGAGTACCTCATGCTTATTTAGGCATAAAGGTGGAGGCATGAATCTGTGTGACGTCTCTATACCAAGGGAGTAAAATCTCAGGACATCTGTAATAAAACATCAAGTTCCTCCAACAGAAAATATATATATATATATATATATATATATATATATATATACTAGATCATTAGTGGGACAACACAGAAATTTCATAATATGCAAAATCAGTGTTTATCAAAGGTCATTAAAACCTCTGGATCAGAAGAGTGCCTCGAAGCAAGCAGGTCTTAGGTTTGAATCCCAGGTTTGGTTCCCCCCGTTTACTCCCCTTCTTCAATCAGATACAGTACATGCTGGTCCTACTATTGACAGCCTATTTAGAAACTTAATTCAGTCAAATTGATCAAAACTTATCAGAAACAAAGACACATAACTAAATAACCAAGAAATATAATTTGAAAACAGACACCAAACAATAAAGTAGAATAAATAAACTACAAATGAACTAGATTATCCACAAAAAAATAAAAACGTAGTTAATTAACAAAAAAATTATGACCATTAGGTCTAACCCCTTCATTGGAAATGTGTGCATCTCCATTGTTCTGCTTGGCTCCATGTCTTCCTTTGATGGATGCAAACCTGCACCGCACCTCTCGCCCCACAGAGGATGAATGGGTGAGAAGAAATCATTAGAGACGACCTGGGAGCAAGAAAGGAAACTAAACATTTGGACAGGCTAAAATATTAACTAATGAGAAAGATGATCGGGGCAACCCAGTGGGAAATAAGTACTTTGGAAGATTATAAATGTTAAAAAAGACTTTTAAAAAGTCTTTTTTTAAATATGTTTTATCGAAGAGAAAACTAAAGAATGTGCATCTTTCAACCAATCACAACCTTTTAAAAAAATAATACATTGGCATTGATCTTTAAATTTTTCTTTTACATATTTTCCACAAAAACATTATTATTATTATTTCATGTGAAGGTCATGTTGCACAATGTTCTCAAAGGCACCACTTCATCATAATGGCTTATTTTTCAATTTTAGGATTTTTTTTTATATCAAATTAATAAAAAAGCCGCAAAATCTTGACTAAAAAAAGCACAAACTGTTTTTTTCTCACAATCAGAATTTTATTGTTCCATAACATACAACAGAAGTGATATAAATATAAATATTGTTATAACTGTAATGTGTTTACTTCAAAAACGGGCATGACAGATATGTAATTATGAGTTTTACATTTAATTTCAAACCACTTTTAGTTCAGTTAAATAATTGTATCGGTGTCATTTCTGTCAATGTTCAACCATTTAAACCATAAAAAACAGGAGTTAAAAAAATAAAATAAAGCTTGTTTTTTAAAACGTCAAATATACCAGTGCATTATAAACATTGCAGGTTTCAACTCTTAAAAAGAAAAATTACAAACAAGAACTGAATGTGATTGTGAGATAAATATATCAAGCTATAAAATTAAAGTCTTCTGCACTGTCGAGAGCAGATATCTAAGATAAAATGCCCATATTTCATATAGTTATTAAATTAATTTAAACTTCACAGTGTGCATGGAGCAATGAACCAGCTGTGGTTCAGAGTATATGGACCTTAATCCCATAAAGGTCCCCTCAACTCGCCTTTGCTTCTTCCTTTTTACAGAAAAATATTTACAATTAAATAATTTTAGCTCTTTTATAATATGTAACTTCTTTCAGGAAGTGTTGAACTCAAATTTTAGACCAAATAGATAAATGTTATGTCTGCATTTATTGGCACCATAAGTGAAATGTGTAAAAACCTTAAAAAAAAGGTTAGAAAATCCATAAGCTGGACGTGGATGTTGCAGAAGTTATGCACACGACCCATGGTGACCTTTACTGCATGTCTTCCCCTACCTGTCTGCCTATAAAAAAAATAAATAAATAAATAAATAAAGACAATAATCGCCTAAAAGTACTCTTTGAAAAAAAGAAAATCAAGAAGCTGCAATTATGAGAGGGGAAAGCTGATTTTTGTTTCTCTGGGTTGTAAATGTTGCAACTAAGCAACTCTTCAAAAGGGGAAATGAGAGAACACGTCGTTCCAGTGAGGCTGGAAAGCCAGTTATTCTGTCTACCTTTTTTGCACTGCAAAAAAATTAAATCTAAATAAGTCATAAGGCATTTTTTCTTGAATTAAGGATTTAAGTGAAACACTTTGCCAATGGAACAACACAATTTACACTTAAAATAAAAAAAAATAATTGCATTGTCTTATTTCAAATGCATAATATCTAGATACCCTATTTCTAAGTAAAAATACTAATTCCATTGGCAAATCATCTTATTTACCTGCTCAAATTAAGGGTAAATACCCTTAATTTAAGACATTTTTACTCATTTTGAGATCATTTTTGCAGTGAGAAAAATTAAGAACATAACTACCATTCCTAAATTTGCCCATAGTTACATTCAGAGCAACTATAAACAAATTTACTACCGAGTGAGAATGATGGTAAAATAATTTCTTCAATTCAGTAGTAACTCCAGAGCGGCAGTTTGCTTTTGGGGATGCATTCAGGAAACAAAATCTTTATCTGGAAGACTTTGTTTCTGCTGTTGTGTTTAAGTCAGAAGATGGAGCCTCTAGCAGCAAATGTGCAACATGAAGCTTATGGCGAGGCACTTGATGCTAACAGAGGGGGGTTAGTGATGCTGTGGGCCTGTGGCTCCTCTACTGACTGTAGCATTTTTTTTTTAATCTGAGGTTTTATTTGGGTTTTTTTCTATGGGAAAACAGAGTCATAAGTTGGTGTGTCAAGAAGATAAGCCAAAAAAGACACACAAACATTAATAAAAGGTGTGTTCACACCAAACGTGAAACCTGGCCAGCCAAAGCATTTCACCCAGCACGTCAATTGGCTCAGCAGGCGAAGACTCTTAGTTCATGGAGTGTGGCAGACCTGGATTTACAAAGCGATTGGCAGTTTTTTTTTTGTTTTTTTACTTTTGAAAGCCAAACAAAGCTTTTGGTGTTCCTAGGTTCACCAGATTCCCAGAAAAAAGGAACCAGCACCAACCCCCAGACTACAGCTGGATGACGGTTGCCTTCAGCAGTACTTCTGCCTATCTATGACTCAGTCCTACATTGGGAGACGAATCAACCCTACAACAGAGATTTAGGGAAATCAGTACGAGAACACCGGCAGAGAAAAAAAAAAACAGAATTGGGACCATGCTGCCAGCCATGGGAGCCTCTGGAATAAAGGAACCACAGCAGGAGATCAGAGGATCCGCCTGGGGAATCAGCACACTAGAGCGGAGAAGTGCAGCTGTAGATCAACTCTCTTGAGAGTATTTCCACTTAATTTTTTTGGAAACATTATTTTCTCCATCTTTCATTTTTAATAAAAAAAAAAAAAAGTTAATCTAGTCCCTGACTGGATTTTGAGATGCAAATCTAAACTAAAATTCAGATTTTTCAACTGCTGTAGCACTTATTTCACACACAAGGATGAAGGTGATTAAATTTTGTTAAATTTGCCAAAATGGTCCCATTTCCCTCCCAAAAGTCGCCACCCTCGCCTCGCTCACTTTCACTCCAGATCCAGCCTCTACATCATGGATGTCAAACCGGTTCCAGTGATGTGAACATACCTTTTAGGGTGTCAAATAACAAAATGTGAACTAAATGTTATCCCAGTGAAAGATGTAAGGATTTTCTCATGTAACTGCCTTTCTTCAGTCTGATCGTGGTTTCAAACAAAGAAAAAAAATTAGGCCAAAATTGTTATTGTATTATATTCTGCTGTTTGCAAAGCCTTGCTTAAGCTGTAAGAGTTCAAACACTTCCTGAAAGCCTGCAGTCTCCCCTTCTTCTGTAAAGGAAGACGAGTGCTCACTGGATTGAAATAAACTGTTAATGTTTCGGGCTCTTAAACTGACTTTCTGAGAACAAACCGATGAGGTTGAAGATGAGCATGCAGCTTTGAAAGAAAAACTTGAGATGCCCGAAGGTTATCAGGACGATAAATATGTAAACTTTTGTTTTAAAAATAAAAAAATTGGACAGTGCACTGTAAAGATGTGATATCTGAAGTGAATGAGAGCAGCATGAGCGTTTCTGTTTTCACATGCTCTGTGGTCTGCCCTCACAGCCAGAGACCCAAGCAGAGGAGTTCAGGCCCTGACACCAACATTGAATCTGTAATTAAACTTAGACTAAACTCTCCTTGGCATTAAATATTAAAAAACAAAATCAATCGGGTCAAACTGGCGAAACTCTTCATCTTTATCTCTGTGCTCCTGAGGTGTATCAAGCAGACCACAGGAAAAACAGTAGCTTTGTTTCTTTTAATAAATAGTGTGAGAATAAAAGCACTGGGGGAGCTTAGTTTAGCCGATCTGTGTGTTTCTCCTCCTGAGACTGTTGTGGCGCCACAAACTAAACCAAACCCCCGCCCCTCCAGTAGCTTGGACATTTAGAAAAAATTAATTTCATACACGTACTTTATGTACAAAGACAAAGTACTGGGACAGGAAGCTAAAGTTGGGCTTTGATTTCCTTGTTCATGCTGGTGCGTTTTTAACTGCAGAGGCCAAAAAGCACAACCAGAACCAACATAATTGGCAACAGTAACACACATGAGCAGAATTCAAAATCATGTGACAAAACATATTCAAACATTTTGGTATAAATGATACCTCCACATAGCAGAATAATTACTAAAAGGAGCAATAAAGTAAATGAAAAGCAGCAGATCAATCATAGCATGAAAGTAGCTGATTCTGTGTAGGTTTAAATAAACAGTGGCACCGTTTGTTCTGTGAAATATACTTAAAACCTTTTAACATTGAAGGTCACAAATGAGCAAAATAAGTTGCACCAAACATTAACCAGAAGAATAGAAAATCATATAAAGAAGAGCAGAAAGTAAAGACACCCTACAGTTACCTGTGAGGAAAGGCTAAAGTAAAGTCAGGAAGTCGCCACAGTTAAAATTACAAGACACATGAAGTAGCCTAAATGTCAGTTCTTGAAGACAAGATTTATTTTTTATGGAGTAGGAGTTGCAGACATTTTCCTGGATGACCTCCAAATAATGAGATGTATGGTGGCGTAGCCATCATGGTCTGGGAATCTATCTCACAATATGGTATCGAGCCTATTTAATCGTTTCCAGAGATTATAAAAGTTTTCACTTAATCAATAACCAATCTGTGATTCACAACTAAAACTGGTAATACAACTAGATAGCAGTTCAGTGACTAGCAGTATTGATCAGTTTATAGATTAAATGTTTGAGCTTGTAAAGCAGGGGTGTCCAATTTCAGTTCCTGAGGGCTGGTATCCTGCAACTTTTAGATCCATCCTTGGTTCAACACACCTGAATTGAATGGCTGAATTACCTCCTCAGTATACATTCAGTTCCTCTGCAGTCCTCTGAATCATCTATTTACTTGATTCAGGTGTGATGAACCAAAGGAACAGCTAAAAGTTGCAGGAAACCGGCCGTCAGGAAGTGAAATTGCCCACCTCTGTTGTAAAGGAACATGCTAGTGCTGCTACGTTTTGAATGACCTACCATTCCCTTAGACCCTTAGAACTGTTAGAACTTTATCAAACCCACTATAATTTTGAAAGTAATTTGTTTAAACCTGTAACATAAAAAGTGCAGTTAGATAATAAGGGGAAATTTTTATTTTGGATGACCAGCTGAGGAATTCAGACACAATATTCCATCTCTCCAGGATCTGTACACCTCCAGGACTCTGAGGCATAGAGGGAAGATTATGTCTGACCCATCGCATCCAAACCCCAATCTATTTCAGCCAATTCCCTCTGGTAGGAGTCTATCAGGACCAAAACCTCACGCCACAAGAACAGTTTCTTCCCATCCGCTACCAGCCCTATCAACAAGGCCCATGACACTGACACTGCCTCGCTCCCTCCCCTGTTCAGGACCTAGAAGCTACAACATAGCATCTCCAGACCTCCTGCATTACATTAACACACAGTCTACTGTGTATATATTATATAGCTTCACATTACATATTGTATGTTTTATATCGTATATAACTATAGTTAAAATTTCTTTGAAGTGCAAACCTACTTGGCAATAAACTTAATTTCCGATTTATGGCGTGAACAAGTTATTCATCTGAAATTGTAATTTTTTATTCAACGGAAATACCACAATTGTGAAAATATGCATTTTCAGAATTAGCAGAAACCCAAGATACTGTCGCGCACATGAAAATGCAATTTACGGGGGTTTCAGCACTTTTTTGGGAAGTTTTGCCGCAAAAGGAAGCGGCGTAAATTTCATAATATAGAGGTTACTGAAAAAGGATCATTAAGTGGAAACAGGAACCAAAATTTAAAACATCAGCCAAGTTTGGGTACAACATTGGTTTTCCAAATGCCTCATAACTATAAAAATACCACAAAATTAGATTTAAAAAAAATAATAAATGGCCCAGGGACTGCAAAACTAATGCTCTGAGACTTTAGCCATGTGTATATTAGCAAGTTGACTTACAAACATCTTTAGTGATCTGTAGAAATAGGACAGAACATTCAACACAATTGTGAAAAGATTGTGGCAAAAATTCCAAAAGATTTGACCCAATCAGCAGTTGAAAAGCTTTGACCAAATACTAAGGAAAGGGATGAAAATCTCTAAATTTGTAGAAAATGAAACAAGTATTTCTGGAATGAATCCGAATTATTTAAAACAGCTAAAGTTGTTTAAAAAAAGAAAGAAAGAAAAAAAAGAGTCCTTATATAAAGTGCATGTAAACATCTGTTTTTCACTGTAACCTAGGAGATACCTCTTTTTGAAATGTTTTGGATCCTCTCTCCTCAGGCAGTTATGAAATCTTAACAAACAGGAAGCACTGGTTAGTCTCTCTTCTTCAGGCTCAGCATGGAAGCCCTACGGAAGAAGAAGTCAAGCTGGAGGCATGAAATGCTGCGATGATGACTGCATGCCTGATATCTCAATCCATCAAATGACTCAAATAGTAGTTTGATCAATATCAAACTCTAGCTCTCTGTCCCATTACATTTGCCCATTTTTTTGACAGAACTGGGGTATTTTTTTTTTTTGCCAGTCAGAAAGAGAAGTACAGAGAGAACAAGTCTTCCTCTTTTGGAATATACTCTTTGCGTTTTTCTACCTCAATCCCCCTTGATGGTGCTGGAGCGCTGGCTTCAGGAAGGCTGAAGGAAATAAAGAGGAAAAACAGTTCTTAAAATGAAGAGGAGGAAAATAACAGATGCATAAAACAACCGTTTTTGGCATGTGTGTTGTGATTGCAGAGGAACCAGTGACATTAATCATAAAAGGAGATCCGCGGAGAGCTTAAGATCAGTAATAAGGATCCAAAAAAATGCAGATCAATGTTCTTGAATAGATCCTCAGGTTTTAAACAGACTCTTTGATCCAGCTGTAGTTTATTCCCCCCTGGGTGGTAAACCTTCCAGTCATTTCTAATCATGCTTCTAAGCATCTGCTTGCTTTGCGTCCACTGAAGATGGAGACAGCAACTGCTTATCTTTCTTTCTTTAAACTTTTCCCCTCCTAAGTTGCCGCAGTGCAGTTTTCTCCCTATCAGGTCCCACTGAGACCCAACTGAACTTGCAAAGTTTTGAGTTTTCCACCTATCTTCTCTTTTATTTATTTGCAACCAGCAGCAGATGGAGATGAAAGTGAGGATGTGAGGTAAAACTGTGTGTGACGGTGAAATGGATGGTGTTTTTTTTGCGCGGGGGTGAATAATGGGATGTTAAAACAAGGTGGATCACAAAAAGGGATTATGCATTCATTATTTTTGTGTATTGACCCTGATCTAATGGAGTCAGGCTGCAAAGGCTGCAGCGTTGTGTGAAATGACTCGATCAGAGCCAGACTCTGTGATGGCTCCAGGCAGAAATTAAAAATTCCCATTTAAAACCCCGCCTGGCTCGTATTAAGTTTCGCCACACTCTTTAACGCTCGGTGTGATCACAAAGGACTACATTTCACTGAAACTTTGTTTTAAAACTTCACAAGCATGCCGAGTAATGAGAAAACAGAAAGCTATGGCTTGAAGGATGTAACTGGTGTGGAAAATTAAGTGCATGAAGATTGCTTTTTTTTTGTTAAAAACACAAAATTTGAAGTATTTTATTATGATTTTGTTCTAAAAAGCCAACACAGTTTTTCCCAATTTATCAAATGAAAAGATGGATGGATGATGTTTGACATCACTGCTCTTCTTGATCTAATAAAATCCATAAAAAATACAATTAAATGGGGAAAAAAGTGAAAAAATATAAGACTGTGTGGTGAATACAAACAACCCCTGTGTTGCAAATATCAGGGCAGAGGGAGTGCTTGGGGATTGAAGGAAGATCCAAACTAAATTGGTTTAAGTGATGCAGACAAGCGGGCGGCAGACGTGAACACATCATCTGTTTGCAGTGAAATCAAAGTGAACTGTTGCAGCGGCGGCAGGGACTCACATCGTTTCTCACCTCCCACAGCGCTGAAGGCCCTGATGCTGCGCGAGAGGATCCTGAGGAGCATGAGGAGGAGCAAGGCTTGGCATGGGATGGTGTGGGGGATGATGAGGAAGAGGAGGATGCTGAGGTAGAGGAAGAGAAGAAGAAGGAGGGGGAAGAGGGCTGAACAGTGACAGGGCTTTCTTAGGTCTTGGGAGGGACCTCTGGAGGAGGGAGTGAGGAAGCGCAAAGCGGCCTCCAGGTCCTACCTCCTCCGCCTCCCGTCCGCCCTCTTCCTGGCCTTCGTGGCTCATGGTGGGAGGGCTGACGAATCGGAGAGCTGAATGGCTAGGAAAGCTGGTGAGGCGCTGATCTGATTGGCTGCCTGTTTTTGACTACAGACACACAGAAAGGCAAGACATGAATGCTGGCTATCTCTAGCTGATTTGCGTTAAAGGATGATTTGAATGGATTTAACAGCTAAAACATTTCTGGTTCGAACAGAAACCTCCATTCTGAGCTCACTTCCATCTTCTCAATAAATGGGTAAAGATGGGATATTTCCCTTTTTTGCCAATGCTTTCTAAAGCATCAGGCACACTCCCAGCTCTGGTTCTTTGTCGTTCCACAAAAATAATCTAACATTCATGAGTGAGAGAACGATGTGTTTGCTTACTTAACTCTGATCTAATTCTTCAGCATCTTTATAAAGATCAACAAGAGGACATAGACATCCACAATAGAACAAGGAGACAAAAACAGGAATCTTAAAAGAATATTTCTGTTAAATAAGAACAGAAGAAAATATTATCAACTTCGAAACAAAACACAATCGACTTATATATCAATCCATTATTATCATACTTTATAAGATCAGAAATAAAAGTATGTTTCCTGGTCTGAGATATTGGAAATATATTTAGTGACTTTATTTAGGGACAGATCTCGGTGCAACTTAAAATGTCTCCTAATTGTTCATGTCAACATCCTGTAATGTCAGAAGCTGGAATTTCCAGATGTTTGCAGAAATATTTTCAGTCCATGTTGGATGGATGGATGCTCTGAATCTTAGTAAGTAAAGTTAGTTAAAAGACAAATGTTGCTGCCTCTTCACTGCTTTTACTTTAGTACAAACCCCTCCAACATCTGTACTGTTTCAGCTCCACTTATCATAAAATGTAATCCATTATCTTATCTGCTCATTAGCTCTGTGTAATGAGAAGAGGCAGATTTTAACCTTCTGCCATCTGTGATGAGCACAACATTTATAAGTTAGTAGTATGAATCAGTAGGCTGAATTATAATAGTACAACTGGAGAAGGTTGTTTTCCTTAAAGAAAAATTCAGACCCTTCATCAAATCCTAGCAAAAAGGAATTAAAAACACCTCCAAGAGTTTAACATTTTTTGAAATGATACAAACAGCTGCTACCAGGATATAATGTATATCCATAATTTAAGCTGCTCAAATGTTAAATAAGAAATAACTTTTTGATGCATTAGCATTAAAAAATAGAAGTCCTTATGCAAGAACCGATTTCATTTACAAAGACATGTTTATATATGAGGAAGAACAAGGCTTTAGATATTTAGTATGACAGAAAAACAAAAAGTAGAATTTAGGAGGCAGATTTGTTTTTTTTTTTAAATGTTACCCAGAACATCTAATTCTAAGGTGGAACATGGTGATGGCAGAGCCTCAACGACCTACATAGAGCCTTTTAGAGGTTCTGTGTTTGATTAAGTTTTTTGGTTAGATTAGTAGTTTGTTAGCAGGGTTATTTGAAAAGCTGAGGACGGATTTAAATGAAATTCATAGCAGAGGTGCAGCTCATGCAAGTCTGCAATCTAGTAAACGATCTATTAGACAAAAGTTGTGCCTCCTTGGGGACAGAAATGCGTGCTAAACTGCCTCCTTGGAATCAAAGCACATGCTAAAGAACCCTCTTCGAAGCCAAAACGTCTGCTAAAGTACCCTCTGGGGAGCCAAGACGCACACAAAGTGCCCTCTAAGGAGCCAAAACACATGCTAAACTGCTCTCTCGGAAGCCAAAACATGTTAAACTGCCTTCCTTCGAATCAAAGCACATGCAAAAGTGCCCCTTTTGGGAGTCAAATCTGGTGATAAAGTGCCCTCTTGGAAGCAAAAGTCAATAAAAAAGTGCTTCCTTAAAAGCCAAAATGGATGCTAAACTGCCTCATTGGGAATCAAAGCACATGTTAAAGTGCCCTCTCGGGTTCCACAACGTATGCTAAACTGCCTCCATGGGAGTTAAAGCAAGTGTTTAATAAACCTTTGGAAGCCCAAACTTGTGCTCAAGTCTCCTCTGGGGAGCCAAAGTGCATGACAAACTGCCCTCTCAGGAGCCAAAATGTGTGCCAAAATGCCCCCTTGGGATCGAAAATATGCGCTAAACTACCCTCTCAGGGGTCTAAAACGTGCTCTAAAGTGCCCCCTTGGGAGCCAAAATGATTGCTAAATTTCCCCCTTGGGAGCCAAAATGTGTGCAAAACTGTCCGCCTGGGAGGCAAACTGTGCTTAACTATCCTCTCGGGAGCATAAAATGCTAAAGTCCCGCCTTTGGAGCCAAAACTGCCTCCTTGGGAACCAAAGTCCATGCTAAACTTCTCTCTCAGGAGCCAAAACAAGTGCTAAAGTGCCCTCTACAGTAGTGAGTTAATGCTGAATATGTGCCCTTTCAAAAATTACATGCCAGTGTTGGCAAGCATGTGATGATCTGTCAAATACACTGTGGACTGCAAGTTGCAAGTCTGTTGGTTATGGAGATGTGAGAACAGGTGCTGAGATGTACAATTTAAAGAGGCAGACACGATAAAGTTGAGAACAAACTTGGTCTTAGTAAAGTTGATAACAACCCTGCCCCACCATTGCTGGCCTTGCCTCTGCATCCCAAAAGGCTGCTCTTCTGAAATATCAGATTACCCTAAAACAGAGTGCCACTCTCCTTTTATTTGTGTGTTTTCCCACACAGCATGCTCTGACACAATACATGGCTTCTGTTTTATATTAAAAACATTAAACTATTTCTCTGTGTTTATTGTTGTGTGTGGCAGTGCTCTTACTGTTATACTTTACCCATGGAGGCCAAGGTTAACATCGAAGTAGGTAACTACTTTGGCAACTAACTGTAGGCAACATTTCAAAGATGATACAAACGACCACACATGCACACACGCTCAAACATACTTGTTCTGCTGTCGTGGTGAGGACCATGTGTTGACTCCCATTGACTTCCATTGATTTTCAGTCATTTTCAACCCTTTCTTTGCCCTAACCCTAAAACTAACCCTAAACCGAACTATTTCTAATGCATACCTCACCCTAATCCAATTGAGAACTTAGCCCTAAACCTAACCATTAGCAAAATAGCATGTGAGGACCGGCAAAATGTCCTCACTTTGCAACAACTGGTCCTCAATTTGATGGTGAAACTGGAAAAAGATACACCCACCCACACACACACACACACACACCCTAAGTCCTAAAATAAATAGGATTTGAACATTAAGACCTTTAGTGGGAACGTAGCTTAATTCTTCACATGAAGCTGCTGAGTGTAGTTGAAAAAAAAGAGAATCCATATGTCATCTAATAAAAACAGCCCACAGAGTGAGTAGGATAGAATATGAGAAGATGAGGTGGTGATGCTGTAACTCCGAATCAGGGCATTAATGTTTCTGAATGGCATGGGCTATGACAGCTGTGTGCAAACACACAAAGGAATGATGAGCGGCTTGGTAAGCAGATATGGGAGCACATGACAGACTTGATGTGAGAATGTGTTGCAAAGGCTGCTGGATTTGAAGCAAAACAAAATCAATTTGTTCTTCCCAGTGAAGACCAAATCAAGAAATTAATCTTCCACTTTTCTGACACTGTAGGAGAATAATGTTCAGGCTATCTCCAGTTTTATGCAGATCAATTCCAATATATTTCAGAAGCATAATCAATGTAGATAGACTATTATTCTAGCTTTCCTTATTCTGTGCAGATCAATGGAGGGTAATTATGCTAAGATTCACTGTGACAGCGTTGGTTGTGTATGACGGAAGCGTTCCTTAGGGGCTGCTAAATAATCTTAGTAGACAAAGCACAGAAATTTACATTCAACTGATATTTTCCCTAAGATTGTTTCTTGGGGGAAAAAAACTAAAACTATTGACAAACCTGTCAATTTCCTTTTAAATGGTGCCACACTTGTGAGAAAGATGCTGACTGAGCTGCAGAGATGACTTTGTGGGCTGCAGCCGTGAAAATGGCTCGTTTAGTGTCATTTAGCACTAGACGAATGGAGTTTGAAGAAAGAATCATGGGCTTCAGCAGCATGTAGAAGAACTTTGCAAAGACGCCTTGCCGTGCTGGTCTCTAGCTTGGTCAAACATTGCATCTTATTGTCAATTAAGCAGCTTAAAAAAGTAAGTTTAGATTTTTTTAAAGAGATGTGGCAAATATTAAATGCATGCAACCAACAAACTGAATGCTGAACTAAATTCTCATGAAAAAATAACTTAACAGACTTTGACACTGTTTAAGGTTTATTGCAGGAAACAACAGGACCAAAAAAGAAGAAATCAGTGAAACATGTATTTTTTGTTCTTTTGGAGCCAAGCTTAGATTGAGGTTATTGTTAGAATGTTTTGAAAATGTAGGACCTTTAGAATAAAAGTTCATAATTTCAAACAAAAAAAAACTGGAAAAAAAATATATAATAAAAAATTTAACTGTGCAATCAAAATGAATGCTTTTGATTTCTGCTGTGCATCATTTTTCATTTTGTAACAAACCTAAATCAAGTGTGGTGCAAGAAAATACCTATTTTTAGCATTCAAACAGCTTTCTACTTTAGGAATTTGAGGTAATATAAGGTTAAATTATTCCGTAAATAATAAAAAGAAAATATGTCAAATGGGTTAAAACTTGCAAGATAAAAACACTAACATGTCCAGGTTTGTATTTAAATTATAAGTGCTGCCTATTACAATATCTATGTATGTCTTATTATTATGTAGCTTTGAAGAGAGTCACTTTTTTAAGATAATGGTTTGGATTTAATAAGATTTATTTAGCATTGTTTTTATTCCACCTCCCCTTAATGAGTCATACTACAATAAGTTGTAAGATGTTTGAAGCTTTTCCCTCTAAATATAAGCTGAGTACACATGTAAGGTTTATAGTTTTAGTGAAATCTATGGGATTCATGTAATGATTTAAGCTTAACCAATTTCTACTGTACAGGATAAAACTCAGGTTTGTAAAAAGAAGTATTTTAGGATTTATTTATTATGATTTCAATTTATTGCATCACAAAAAACCTAAAGTTTTTAGGTGGTGTGTAGATATATTATAATGCTCAATTGTTATTTACCTGATACAATTCAGTATATCAAAGCAACCAATCTAAATAGTTTATAAATGTGATGTTAAAAGAATGATGAGCTTAAATGTTGAGCGTAGTTGACGAGGAATCTCTGTGAAGAATCATTCATTTTTCCACCATAAACTCTGTTATTAAAAAAATGTCCAATATCACTGCAGACTTATTTCATACTTTGGCTCCATGTTCTTTCGTGCAACAGTAGCTGACCTGTGATGGTTAAGAGCTTTGTCATAATTTTTCTAATTATGATGAGAATTTACTGAAATTAGGTGACAACCTATGAGGGAAGGTATAGAGGTCACCCACCTTGATAAGAGGGTTGATGACACCAACATTAGCACTGGAATTGAAGACCTTGCTGAAGCCCGTCTCTCTATTCACCAACTCCAGCTGGTAGAACTTCTTGTCATCCTATAAAAACAGGTTAAAATGAAACGACATCCTATGAACTTCAATTAGTGCAATCCCTTAAAAGGATTGGAAGGAGGGATTTTGGCACGGCCGCTGAAAGAACCATTTGCTAAGCTCTTCTGCCTGTACCTACATTTTATTTTATCATTTTTAATAAATAGAGACTTATTATTCCAAATTCTTTATGCAAATTTTAATAACATTTATTATATCTTTGATTCAGTCATGACGAGGAACCTATGTGGGTGTCCTGAAATGGTTCAGATCCTACTTGTCTGGGAGATGTTACTCTGTCCACCTCATCTGTTGACATATTAATTGTGGGGTCCCTCAGGGCTCAATTCTAGTGCTGGTCTTGTTTGCGCTTTATGGTACATCCTCCCATGCAGCTTGATTAAAAAAAAAAAAAAAAAAACTGTACAATTCTTATGTTGATGACTGCCAGATTTATCTGCAACTGAAGAAAAATAGCAGAACCCGACTGACACCTCTACTGCACTGCCTAAGTGAAATCACAGCATGGTTGCCTAATCATTTTTTTTAATCGAAATGAGAATAAAATGGAAGTGATGGTATTTGGCAACATGGATCCCCTCCTAAAAGAGAGCCCCCTGCAACATCTTCGTTCTACAGCCACCAACCTTGGTGTCATTATGGTGCGTAGGTTAAATTTCGAGTTGATGCAGTTGTTAAGTCCAGCTTTTATCACCTTCGCCTTTTAAGCTGAAGTCAAACCTTTTTGGTATTTTAATATGTTTGAGCAACTATTGCAATCTTTTATTCTGACCCGTCTGGACTACAACAATGCATTTTATGTGGGTATACATTACAAAAAAAATTTAGTGCTTGAAGTTAATCCAGAACACCACAAAGCATCTTTTAACTAGAACAAAGCAAGTGGGAAAAAAAAGCATTAGCACTTTACTCCCATTTTAGCATCTCTCCACTGGCTGCCTGTTTGCTTTGGGATTGATTTAAACATTTGAGTATTTGTTTTCTAATCTACATTAATACATGCATTTTGTGCTTTTTAAGTAGCTTTTTTTAATTTTATTTCCAAGTGTTTTTTATTATCTATATCATTGTAATACATATGTCTATATTACAGTGCAGCACTTTGAAAACATTTGTTTATCAAATGTGCTATATAATAAAGTGGATTTGGCTGCATCTTTAATTCAGTCAATTTTTTTAAACAAATAATTGAAAGTTTTTCATTTTAGAGAGAAAAAAAAAAAATGTATCAATATTGTCCTAATGAAACAAAGTAAATCCCAATAGTGGATAGAAAACATTGCGTTTCGGAGACAAAATGAGGGAGGCATTACCAAATATGGATAACAATGTGGGGTTTTTGCTCTACTCGAGGATTCATCATTGATTTGATCATTTCCTCCCCAAACATGTTAAATGGATGTATAACAGCTTTATTTTGACAGAGAAACAAAGATAAAGAATGCACTTTTACTGCAAAAAGCTTCTTCCCAGGAAATATGGTTCAACTTCACTTAAGTAAAGATTGATTCAATACATTTCTCCTCATCCACCAAATACAGTCTCTCCTTCAGCAAACTAGTTTTTCAATTTGTAAGCTCTCTGATCTTTTGTTAAACTGCCTCCACTTCACTGGATAAATTATCATATAAACCTATTTTTCTATGCGTAGATGGTGGAAATTTGTGCCTGTTTTTAAAACTCTTCAAAAAAATAAAAAAAATAAAAGTAGACTTTGCTCACTTTAGAGATTTAAACATAAGTGTCCTTTTTTTGTTATTCATCCACACATGTAAACTATGAAAGCAAATTCAGAGCGATCCAGACTGAGTAGGAGCAGCAGGATTTACTCACAACCAGTTTTTTGACCAGAGCTTCTCTTTCAGTGACCATCTCTCTGAGCTCCGCTATGAGATGCAGATCTTCTGGTCGACTCTCTCTGTTTCTCAGCTTCTCCTCTGTGCCCTCCAACCTGCAAACAAAGGAGATGGCAAAGGGATACAAAAAATACAGGGATCTAAAATCTAATAAATATCAAAAAATACACTTCAAAATAAAAATAAAGTAATTGTGAAAAGATAAGTTACCACCACGATGAATAGTTATTTCGACTTACAGGATTTGCAGAGCAGAGATCTTGTCTTTGAGCACCTCCTGAGCTTTGTTGAAGTCAGCCAGCATAATCTGCACCTCTCTGTGATGAACAACCTTTATCTCATCCAGATCCCTCTCATGCCTCTTTATTAGATCCTGTTCATGAGCTCTGTGGCACAGAGATACAATTCAGCATTACCCCAGAGATAAGGTGCAGATATGCTCAAGCTGTGCATAAAAATGCCAGCTTATACATCATAATAGGGACTTATGCACCATGATGGTACTTTTGTCAATCGAATTTAGCTAAATTACAGCAGGGGAATCATTACTGCGCTTTATTCAATGTTACTGGACGACAACAGATGTGCAGCTGCAAACTGAATTTGGCTGGATTGTAGTGTGTTGTAAGAGCTGAAGCGAATCGAGTCCCTCAGAGCTTAAAGAGCTGGTAACCATGGCGACCGTGTCAGGGTATTAATTCGCCTGTCTCTGATTTAAGTAAAACATTGCAATCACATATGGCAGAATGACTGAAGGATGGTTAAGTTTGTATGCAGTTTGTATATTTAGCCTCCTTCTTTAGAGGACAGGCTAATAAAAAGATCTTTACGATAGAAGAAGGGGTGATATTTATCCAACATATCCTTTTAGCACTTATTCCAATATTCTTTTAAAGTCTCAGTCTGGTTGTTAAAATAAACAGAGTGGTTCTGTTCATCCATACTGCCCATCCCAACCAGAGGTTTTTTATTGAGCTAAATTCATGATAATCTTATAAAGCGCTATAAAATAAAATAAGTAGCCCTAAATTTGCAAAGGAAAAAGATCTTCAGGACCTTTTCTACTCTTCAGCAGATACCTGAAGTTTTTGGATCCAAAGTGACTGCTATTTAGAGCTGATGATGTCCACTTTCATAAAAAATTTCAGTTTTATCTGATCAAAAACTATCCCAGAGCATGACGCTGCCACCATCATGTGTCACTGTGTTTAGTGCTGTTTTGGAGTCAAACTTTAGATCTGATCTTTGTCAGACAATGATGCATCATCCAACCCTAGACTAGAGGTGTTCCACTAAGATCTTTAGAATTTATGCAAATATTTCTTTTAATCCAACTTCCAAAATATTCCTTTTTTACAACACCATCCAATTTACTTTATATTGATGTTGCATGTTAACAAATTTCAAGGAAAATCCTAAGAGGACTTCTAACACTTTATTTAGAGCAGAGCAGATTAACTGTAATTGATGGCAGGTAGGAGAGTTGTTTTTAAGCTGCATAAAATAGTAAATAGGTGACAAGTTGAACAAAGGCAAATGCATGTTTCTTTGTTGTCAACCAGGATGAACATTTACAGAGGGCTCAAAATAATAGAATGGAGGTACTTAAAGGAGCGATATATAATTATTATTATTTTAGATAGGAAGAATTAAAAAATAGTGATGTAAAAAAACAAAGGGGATCATTTTGGATTGAATATAGTATATAGATGTCACACATCATCCTTTACCCTCCTGTGTTATTATCCAGTCTTTTGTTTATGTGTGTGCATGTAGGTCCATGTGAATACAAGCCAATCAGGGCTTAGCTTCTCCCTGCTGTGTATGTATCCATTGCAAATAAGCCCATAAGACAACGTTGCTTGTCAAACATCTAGCTTTGGTTTACAGACAGTGGGCGACAGCCAACCAAGGAGAAATTTAGCTTATTGCTCCTTTAAAAGGCTGCTTTGATTTCTGGTTTATTTCCTTTTCCATATTCAAAAAACTTTCAAAAAACAGTGAACCCAAAACCAGGGACAATTTAAACTCTGACTTATTGAAGAGCGATGGTTCAAAACCAAATAATTCATCATGAGAATGAGAAGATTGCACATAAAGATCCCTGTTTGTCTGTTCGCAGGTTTCATGGCTCCTCAGCTTTGTTGTAATTAACACCTGCAATTTCAAAGCATGAACGCTTCTCCTGATCCTTTGTTTAATCACAAGTTCTCCAGTTATTCCCTTATGAGCTGCGTTCAGTTTTACTATTTTAAAAACTGGGTCAGTCACTTCTCAGCTAATATGATGTACTTAATACCTCAAGTGCGACCTAAAATAGACTACTTGATGGAAACTTCCACATTTTTTTTTACCTTATCTGATGGTTGGCTTCACTGCGAACTCTGAGTACCTCTTTGCCCTTCAACTCCAGCTCTCTGGTCAAAGTGTCGATAGTCTCGTTAAGAGAGTGGATTTCGTGGTCCAGATCGGTGATGCGGTTGCTACGGGAACACAACTCTCCCTGAAGGTCAGAGATGCGAACCAGGAGTTCCTGTTCCTGTAGAAAATAAAACAACGGCTTGATCACCTCAATACAAGGAAACCGATCCCCGATTATTTCACCATCAATGATTTTCAGAAAAAACACCAGACAAAGTTTGGAGGTTTTAACAGGGACCTTTGCAGATTATAGTTACCTGCTGGTGGCTGTGTTCCATTGCTTTCTCCAGTTCTCTTTTAGCTGCACTGTTTTCTTTGAGGTGGAGCTGCTTCAAATGTTCAACGGCCGTAGCATGGAGGTGGTTCAGTTCTGCTCGGAGAGACGCTGCCAGACCAAAGCATCAAAGACAAAGATTTCAGTGTTTTTAAAATCTATTAATTGCTATATAATATAAACCAAATTTAATAAGATTTTGGCTATACTTAAGGAACAAGAAAAAGCAAAGCTTGCAGATTAAAAATCTTTTAATATTTACTCCCTGCTGATATGAAAATAAGACACAAACAATCAAACCACAACACAAACTATTCACCTTTAGAGCAACACATCAATTGCAGGGAAAGGTTCATTTTCCATGGGACTTTGGGCAAATTTAAGCCTTTTAAATCTTGAACAATGTGAATCTCACACCTTTGATCCCAACACTCGAACTTGAATCAAGAGTGCAATAAGAAAAAAAATACATGTGACCCGAATAACAGATATAAGGTCCAATAAATCCAAATTTCCTCATATTTAGTAACATATCATTTCCAGTGCTCAAAAACACAAATAATAAAGGATCATTTTAGATGCTGATGAAGGTTCTCAGTCATCCAGGTCAAAGTCATTCCGTAAAAATTCAAAAAATATCCACTGGACTTGGTTTTCAAGATTTGAAGACGTTTCGCCACCTCTCCAGGAAGCTTTCTCAATTCAAATGTCTGGATTTGGTGGTTTGAGAGGGGC